GTGTGTGTGTCTGCCTGTGGCATCGTAGCTCTCAAACGGATGGACCGATTTCGATGCGGTTTTTTCATTTGAAAGCCTGTTTCGTTGCGGTGGTGCGGTGGTGCGTCCAGTTTTTTAGCTATGTTTGGTTAATATCGGTCTAGCAGTGTAAGAGTATCAGCTCTTTTCCAAAATGATGTAAAGCATATTGGCGTATGATTACTCGATAAGTGCTTCACGCGTGCCAGTGTAATCGTTAAATGACAATAATTTGCGTAGTGGGTTTTTTAAATTTTAAATTTATAATTTTTTATCATAGAATGAAATTGGTCTAACAGTTCAACACAACTACAACAGTAAAATTGTAACTAATTTTTGCTAACAATTTGGTAGAGTCAGTTTAAAAAATAACAATATGTCTGGTTAACCAGAAGCATTGTAACGACAAAAATCTATACATTTGATAAAATTTTGAGTCGAATGTGTATATTTAATATTTTTTGGAAAATCTTATTGAAATAGTCATTATTATCTATAGTTTTTTAGAATTTTTGACTGTATGTCTTTCTCTGTGACCACACTGTCTGTCTGTGTGACCACATCACGAGAAAACCACTGAACAGATTTTGATGAAATTTGGATGATGATAGCTATTTATCCGAGTCAATATGTAGAATACTCTTTACTGCAAGAAAATATCTCATCTCTGAGAAATCTATTCTAAGCGTTAGAGCGAGGGTGAGTCGCTTGCGAAACATAAATTACAGAATATTATACTAATTATATTAATTGCATATAAGTCACGAAATGTATTTGTTTAATAAAAGGTCGTGAAAGATACATATTTGGTAACTTAAGGTGTTGTGAAAATACAGGTGCCCATCGCCACTCTTCTAATTCGATGAGATTGCAATCCGATACCACCGGAAGAGATGTGTATTGATGAATTAAGAGCACTCTTGGGATATAAAGGTGAAAGGTGAGGTGACCAATAACTTTGCAGCTTTGAGCTGTTACTAAACAAAGTTAATCCATATAAATATATAAATGCGAAAGTTACTCTTTACAGAAAGACAGCTGTTGGTGACCTTTTCACGCTTAATACGCTGTAAAGTATCTAGTCATTCTATAAACCTGGGACTCGAACTGAAAACCTCATAATCTACAGTATAAGCTAGACACTAAACAAACTTTCTTAATTGGACGAATAAGACAGCGAATGTTTTTCTCCTAAACAAGTTTTATTAGAAATGAGATTATCAGACAATTTTACTGTAAAGCATAAAGTTATAATGTTATTTATATTCAAAGAATTTAAAAACCTCATTAAGAAGTCCCATCGAGTTTCTTTTAACGCTTCTCTTAGAGCCGTTATATTTCTCAACTAAACACCTAAATTTTATTTTCGTAAAAAGATTATTATATTGCTATACAGTATGTATGTAAGGGTTAGAATAGATTTCTTAGAGATGAGATGTTTTCCTGTAATAAAAAGTATCCTATATGTAGATCAGGATAACCAGCTATCATCATACCAAATTTCATCAAAATCAGTCCAGTGGTTCGTCCCCAGACAGACAGGAAAAAATGTCTAAAAGCTATAGATTCGGCTTCTGTATCAATAATAATGACTATTTATATAGATAGATTTATCAAAAAATATTTAATGTACAGATTCGAATCAGAATTTTATTATATGTATAGATAAAGAATGTTATAGGACGTTTTCCATCCTGGTTTTTGAAGTGGTTATCATGGCTATTGGGCATGCTAGTTGACGGTTACAAACCAAACCAGAACCGGAAGCAAGTAACTAACCATACTGAACCTTCCCAATTTTTCAAAATTAAGTCCAAAATGGAAAAATATTATCAAATTGTTCTCAAATGAAGCAACGCTTTTTACGTATTACTTAAAAAAAAGTAAGTAAACCTGAAGCTACGTAAATCTGTATTCAGCCCTTTTATTTTGACGTCCACTTCTGGGCACGGGCCTCCCTTTAATACGAGGGGAATCATGCCATAGTCCACCACGCTGGCCAAGTGCGAGTTGGCGGACTTCAAATGTCTTTCGAAAACTTGCTAAGTTCTCTCAGACATGCAGGTTTCCTCACGAAGTTTGCTTTCACCGTAAGGCAAGTGGTAATCATGTTAGAAATGATTCGCACATGAAAATATCAGAGGTGCGAGACCCGGGATTTGAACCCGCTTCGCTCGGTTTCCCAAGCGAGCACGTTACCACTGGGCTACCACTGCCTTTAAATTCAACATAAATCTACTTCATAGCAATTACGCTATTAGGCCACAAAACACAAATGATTGATTAACATGCTGTCAGAAGGTTCAATAGTGACTCTGTCCAGTCATATTGTGAAGTTACACGCAACTTTGGATTCATTGTAGACGGTGATGGCCAATTTTTTGTAGACTCACGTATGTCGCCATATGTAGGTCACCTATAGAATATTCATTTCGATAATGGAAAAAATGTGTTCGATTATATGAGTACGTCCATACGACTTTTATGCATAATATTATATGCACTAAGAATTTTTTGTTTGGATATACTCGTAGCTTATAATGTTCCGATATCTCTTTTCAGTACATTTATATTAGCTTCATTTATATATAACTATACTTTTTATGACCAGCGTTCGTCTAGTTGTCGAATTTTAAGGAAAACATATATTAATAAATAGAACGTACCTATTTTGTACATTACAAAATCAAGTTTCTATGGCAAATCGTTGGGACATTAACACACAACACCATTTAGTCCCATGGTAAGCCACGAGGCTTGTGTTATAGATACTAGATAGTTGATAGATACAGATATTATATAAGCTTAAATACATACATATTATAAATAAAAACACCTATGACTGGCCAATCATTAGGCCTTGAAAGTAAGAGCAAGATCTTGAAGAAATGATCAGAGTTAGACATTACTAGCACTACCCGCGGCTCCGCCTGCGTTCAGATGACCAAAAACCAAATACTTAGGTTTTACATATTAGTATATTCTTACATTGCGTTTTTTGTATTTTTTCTCAGAAATGGGACAATTTCCCGCGGTGAATAGTAAGATCCGGATATATATGAACCCGGATAGCCAGCTATCAACATACCAAATTTCATCAAAATCCCTCAAGTGGTTTTTCTGTGATGCGGTAACAGACAGACAGACAGAAAGACAAAAATTCTAAAAACTATAGATTCGGCCTCTGTATCGATAATAATGTTTATTTCAATAAGATTTTCCAAAAAATATTTAACAAGCAACCATACACACGACCGCCATACTCAGTAGGGTATTAGAAGATATATTGTGTTTGTAAACAGTACACCAAATACACAGTGGACTCAAAGCAATCATTCATAACACAACATTCATTTAATACACAAAATCATTATTCAACCACACATAACACAACTAGCACACGAAGAAGTAGAAGAAAGAGACAGAGATAGAGAAGTAAATCCAAAAAAAAAAAGTTATACATACTCTTCTATATTCTATAAATATTAGAAATCGCTATTGATGACTAAATATAGGTATTTTTCAGAGTCTAATACAACTTAGTTGCTCGATGAGGTGAAAAATTGCTTCTTCACTTAGAAAATTCTATAAATTCCTTAACGTTATTCACTGCCCTCTCTCTACTTTGCTTATGTATTATTAAAATTATAAGAGAAAAGAAGAAAAGCACGAACACATCTATCCCACGGGAACGAACGGTTCCCGTGGGATAGATGTGTTCGTTACTAGGGATGAAAAATATCTAAAATGTTGACCGAGGATATAAGGTACCACCATGCAAAATTTCATTTAAACCAGTCCAAAACTTCGGAGATTAGCCCGTACAAACCGACAAACAGAGAAATAAAAAATTTGGGAAAAATCTCTATTTGTTCTATTTTTCTTCTTACATCCTCCTGACTCGGTTTTTAACCTTTTTTTCTATATACTACATAACATACGACCTCTACAGTTTTATTATATGTATAGATTGTGTACAATTTTTATTTATCTGTAATAATAACTAATATTCATATATATATATATATATATATATATATATATGCACAGTTTTATATCTCACAGGTCTCACAAATCAAAATGGATATGATAATATTCGTAGACTAATGAAATGTTAATATCTCGAGGTAAATCAAAGCATCTTATGACAGAGGGACGATTTTTTATTAGAATTATACTGACACAAAGTGTAACATCACGCGCTCTAAGCTTTGGAGAGCATCTAGTAAATAATTTTCATATCACTATACACACAACAAAATCTTAAAATTTGTTCAAAATTGTCTAATATATATGTTTTTGTATAATTTGCTTTTAATTTACCAAGACGGTTTTCTTTTTAACGGATTTCAAAGGAGTTGACTTGTTTGACTATTTTTTTATGTTATTAACAATAATGTAAAACAATCTCGATTAGACTAATTTTTGACTAAAAGCCGCAATGAAGTCGGTCAATATTGCAGCGCGCTGAGTACTAATCCTTATCCTATATCCTAGATATCCTTATTAATTCCTTTTCATCCTCTTCAATTTTTTTTCGTTTACAACAAACAAAGTTGGTATAGTGTCATGTTACGGATGATGATGGTACCTATACTTAGGGTTCAAATGTTAAGGTTACTACTTGCCATCAAATAGGATGAATATATGTTTATGATTGCCGCGTTAGGCCCGACCCACACTATTATTGATCTAAGAAAAAATGAGTGCAGTCACACTATCAGCAAGAGTGAAGTTTCGGTCGAATCACACTCCAGCAATGATTCTTGTATAAAAATACTTTACTAGACCGATATCAGACCGAGAACGGCCTGTGATCGATAGTACAGATAAGACCTTAGTCAAAAAATTATTCCACTACGATACTAGCAGAAGAACTTATATCACCCCACCACGATAATATATGGACATTTTTTATAAGGCCAATGATTTTATATATTGCGAAAGTGTGATGGCATGTAAAAATTCTTAAATAAACTTACTCGATCAGAATAATCGAATGCCGCAGTCCCCCTTCCTTCAAGGTACTCTTGAAATTGGGAGATGACGCAAATCATCGCGTAGATCTGTAACAAAATATATATTATTATACATAATATAAATGAAAATAATCGCTGCGTGTGTGTTTTTTCAAACTAATACCAGAAAATATGTACTGAACGAATTTTCATACGGTTTTAATGAGACCTACCGCGCTCCAATTCGCCGCAAGGGGCGCTAGTATAGAGTAAGGTCTCTAAAAGTGTCAAATGACATTGAGTGTTTACCGCAAACAGTGATATAAGCTAGTAAAATAAGCTTTTATTAAAGAGTTTTTATTAAAACCCAACATAAGTCTTCCACCGCAGTTACAATGTCATTAAAGTAACGGGATACCTAGTTTCAAATCCGTTAGATCTGTGGAAGTTGTTCATATCCTTAACCGTCTAGAAAAGATGCTCTCAATCAAGGCATCCTTCAAATAAAAAAAAAAGAAAATGAAAGTTGGTTCATTCGTTTGGGCGCTCCGATGGCACAGACCTATAGACACTCAGATATCCAGATACCTACGTTTATAACTCTACTTTTTTGCCGTGGGTTGATAAACAAATATAACTAAGCTGGCTTAGCTGCTGGCTAAACCTTTAGAGATACCTCAAAGCAATATACCAGAAAATAGTAGGTTCTAAAAGGGCCTACAGGAAGTCCGCATTAGCAGGTATAATAATAATAATACTCTTTATTGTACAGCAAACAAAAAATATACATACAGACAGTAATTAAAAATAAGCCTTATTTCTTAAAACGATCTCTTCCAGGCAACCAACTACGAGGTAAAGGAAAGTGAGAGAAACGGTAGGCAGTGTATTTGCTATAATGAGGTATTTTGACATACGAATGAATGGATGAATGAATGAATGAATGAATGAATGAATGAAATAAACTTTATTCAATTAGACTTATTACAAGTTTTGAATACATACTTATATATACAACGCAAATAGATAAACATAATACCCATATACATACTAACTTATATACATACGTACCTCCAAACATATATAGTTATAGATACAATTAAATAAGAAAGCATTAAAGGGAGAGGGTTCTTTTAATAATTAAAAATTCATTCTCTACGTATCCATTCGACCTACATAACCCCGCAGGTGTATGCCCTGCCCCAGCCTTTGACCTTGATCGCGAAACCGACATCGAGCGAGACACTAGATTCACTTTCATCCAAACGCTCACATCGTCTGTAAATGTAGCGAAAGTTTTGTTTACTATCTAAATGTACGTGAATGAAATTGGAATATTTAATTTGGATATGATTTCGAAATGCTACATGTTGTTTGATTTGGTTTTGTCATTTAAAATACTTTTAATCAATTGGTTTTAGCAAAAAAATAAAAACCGATTTCAAAAAAAGCACTAAAAAGTAAAAAATAACTGATTGGTAGTTTTCACTTACTATACATATCTAATCGAATATATTCGAAGTCGGTGTGCTTTGCTTTGTATAATTTGTATGGACTGGCACCGACTTCGAATATATTTGATTAGGTATGTATAGTAAATAAAAACTACCAATCAGTTATTTTTTACTTTTTAGTGCTTTTTTTGAAAACTTTTTTCGCCAGACTTTTGAGATGGTAATTTATGTAATTAAATTTATATACGTTATATATAAGTTCATAAAACAGTGGGACGTTAAAAAAGGGCTGAATAAAAATATGAAAAACATAATTTAATATAATAATATAAATATAATATAAAATATCTTATGCCTCACACGCATTTCACAAATTAAAAAAGACAAATACCATACAGATGTCCATATACATAGGCCAATATTCATAATATAGATAAGAGATATTTTTATAGGTAGTAATTATAAGTCATGTTATAACTTGGCTACCAATGTATCCCACATTGATAGCCCAGTAATAACGCGCTGGCTTGGAAAACCAAGTGAAGCGGGTCTAAGCTCGCACCTCTGATATTCTCATGTGCGAATAATTTACAATATGATTACCGCATGCTTTACGGTGAAGAAAAATGTGATAGGGAAATCTGCTTATCTGAGAGAGGCTATCTAGTTTTTGAAAGACATGTGAAGTTGCAGTTTGAGGTATCTCAACCAGCAGTTGGACAGCGTGGTGGGCTATAGTCTGATTCCATTCGTATTGAAGGGATTTTGATTTTGAAAATGGTTAAAAATATATGATACAAGCTTTTTTTATTATGAAAACAATAAATGGATGGCAAAGATTGAATGACTCATCATTTTGTATACGATATAATAAATAATAATAATAATCTTTATTGTCCAAAAAGTTTAGCTTACAATATATTTTATACCTGAGGGTAACTCACACTAGGCAAAGCCTGTATCGTTAGTACCACAATTTGATTTACAAATAAAATATTGTTGCTCGGTTAACAATGCTAGTAAAATTTATTATTATGACAAAGAAATATGTAAAAACTACAGAAATAAAAGTATTGCTTGATTCATTTTGCATTTGCAATAAGTGCATGAAAAAAAAGAAAAAACAGAAGCTTAATTAATATGAATATAATATATATCTACACAGTTGCACAGTTTAGATAATTGAAGAAGCCCATTACGGTATATCATAAATATTTTTTTCTGCAGCATCATACGTTAAAGTAACGAGCCAAGACAACACTTTTGTCTTAGCTTTCTTAACTGAGCAATATTTATTATCCCAACTTCAGTTTTGCAAGGACAATGCCATTAGAATTTAAAACGTTTCTTAAACTAAATGTATAGTTGAATATCATAAGGATGACGAAAAATAGAAAGTCTCAGATGTATGAAAGTCATGTTACGAACTTATATTTTGTTTTCAGAAGTAACAACAAAAATCATATGTGACGATGAAACGAGATACGTGAGAGAGATTGCTACGCCGTAGCAACAAAGACCGAGCTTACGTAGCTTAGTTTTGAGTGATATGTTTTGTAAAGAATCTTAGCTAAGGTACTTTAATATTTGTGCTACAATATTTTATACTAGCGTTTTAGAAAAACAAAAACAAATCTTTCCCTCGGGAACTGTATATTTTTCCGGGATAAAAAGGCTATGTGTTATTCTAGACTACAATCTATCTCTGTGTCAAATTTCATCTAGATCCGTTCAGCTGTTCTGGCGTGAAAGAGTAACAAACATCCATACATACAAACGTTCACATTTATAATATTTATACAGATTCCGATACTAAAATATAATACTGAAAAAAAAACTACCTAACAAACCAATTGACCACCTTTTGTGATGTCAATGTAATGATATTTAACATTTCTTACGTATAACTTAAAACACCTTCAGCCCTTATGTTAGTACTGTGCTGTAAAAAATGGTTCGATAAAAGAAAACTATTACTCTTTAAGACATAAACAAACCTCCCCGCATTTTATGACTAGTTTATTCTGAAAGCTACCACATATTCCAACAAAAGGGTCGTCGTACTTCCTTATGTGAATAATTTTATGTTTATTAAAAATTCTTGCTTAGGGTAGAGCATTTTATATTCTATACTAGCGACTCACCCTCGCTCCGCTCGGGTTCGTCCCTAGTTACGTTTTAAGGTTTAGCATAGATTTCTCAGAGAGGAGATATTTTCCTGCAGTAAAAAGCATCGTATATATTAATTCGGATAAACAGATATCATCATACCAAATTTCATCAAAATCTGTCCAGTGGTTTTCTCATGATGCGTTCACAGACAGACATATAGACAGAGAGGCAGACAGACAAAAAATCTAAAAACTATAGATTCCTTTTCTTAGATTAGTTCTTTCTTTTTTTACATTTTTTTCATGATTTTTTCCGATGTTTAAATAGTTATTCTGCTATTCGGGTGAAGACAAATCTAACAAAACAAAGATCATAAAAATCGGTCCAGCCGTTCTCGAGTTATAAGTGTTAAAACAAACCCGACTTTGTTTTATATATACATTATATATATATATATATACATATATATATATACATATATATATATATATATATATATATATATATATATATAAGATGTATATAGTACATACGTGTACAACTTCGAAATTGTCTGATCGTTTCTTTAAATTAACTTATTTACTTGAAAATGAATTTTGATCGAAATTTGTTGACAAGGTTTCGGCATTTCAAATATTAAATATTTCTTCGGTGTTATTGCTTTCTAAATTACCTTTTAAAGATATATTAAGAAAAATATTACGTCGTTTGATTCTGTGCATAATGCAAATACGAGTAAATACTGGTTACATGACTTAGATAATTTGGAACACCGGCTTTAAATGTTTGGCTCATTTTGTAGTGACCTACTTGCTGTGCCAGCGGTCGCGGGTTCGAGTTCCGCTGAGGTCATACCTTTGTGTGATAAGCACGAATGTTTGTACTCCAGTCATGTGTGTTTATATTTTTAATATGTATGTATTTAAAGTTATATACGTGTAGTGTATCAACTATATGGTATCCCTAACACAAGCCTCATAGCTTACCAAGGAACTAGATGGTCATGCGTGTTCTGTCCCAACATATTTATTTATTTGTATTTATATACAAGTTACCTATATATGTACATAAAACCTAGAGTATTTTCAACTGAACTTTATTATACTGTGTCCATAGAACGTAACATATAAAAATGGAATGACATTTTTACCTTTGTTCCCACTAGTTAGGTCTATTTATAGTAGTATATAGCAGATAATTATAAATACACGTGTCCATTTAAGTTAACCTTTTAAGGATTATAAGAGAGATGAGATTAAAATAAACTAGTCTTGAGGTTTTTAAAAAATATAAGAATACTAGCGGCTCACTAACGCTTCGCTCAGGTATGGCTCTAGAAAAACAAAAACAAATCTATCCCACGGGAATCGGACTTGCTTCCGGGATAAAAAGTCGGTTTTTCGTCTGATTATACGGGTCACAATATATGGAACATTTGAAAATATCTTATCTTTGACAAATCTATACTAAATGTTAAAACGTAATATAGATATGTATAGAAAGTAAAATGTAAGAGAAACTTGTACTAGCAACCCCTGCTAG